TGATTGTTCTATCTAACTAATTTTATTTTGTTGCCGAATGTTTTTCCTAACAACATATTCAGTATATAAAAACAAATAAAATTTAATTAATTAAGTGAGAGAGAAAAGAAGTTGTGGTTTTGAGAGAGGAAAATAGTTTGAGAAATTTAATGAATAGCATGTCATCCATCTTATTAGACTAATATTATATACAAAGGTAAATTTTTCTTTTTATCCAAATTTAAAATTTGTATTAACTCATAACAAAAACTATAATTTCCATAAGGATGAAGGCAAATGAAAAACTAAACTACATGATATAAAGTATTAGTTTTCATGTACTAAAACCAAGTTCTTTTTTAAGGTCTGTTTGTTTTGTGTAAAATATTTTACAAGAAAATTTTTCATAAGTTTTGTCATGTTTGTTTTCGAAAAATACTTTTATGTGTTTGTTTCTCATAAAATATTTTACAAGAAAATTAGTTAATGAAGAATATTTACAGTCAACTTTTAAACTTATCTCATTAGCTAAAAAACATTTTATGCTCATGAAATTTCATAAAATATTTTATAAATAGTAATTATTTTATAATATCATCCAATTTTTTGAATCACCATCACCACCTCTTCTTTCACGACCATATCCACTACCATTGTCATTTCATTACTACCATCTCATTTTTCATCACTACAACGATCACCTCCTTCTCCATAATCATTATTGAAAAATAATTTTACATGTAAAATATTTGTGTAAAACGATCATACCCTTATCGAGATCTTTAGTAAAAGACAAATTAATTTATTTACTAGTGATGTATACCCAAGACTAAGTTATAATAGTCCTAACACCACTGGACGGCTCCACTATGAGGGGCAGACCCAAGCACCAATTGACGTATAGGTCTTGGCAAAAGCCCGATTGACTATGATAGCCCCACCACCATGTGGTGCAAGGGCAAATCAAGCACCACGTGGTGCTTTCCATTGTTATTATAATAGTATTACTTATAATAAAAATATTATTATTTAAAGCAAAACTGATAGTATTTTTAGTGTTCATACTATTAATTATAAATAAAATAATAATATTTATAACATAAATAATATTATTTTTTATATAAATATTTTAAATTTAAATAACAATAATAATATTTTTTAACGCAAATACTATTCATTATAGAAATAAAACTATTTTTTATGGTAATACTTTTAATTAAAATAAAAATATTTAAAATCTTTCATCAAGACCCAATAGAATTGGCTCACGTCAAACCTATTATGCTGGGTATACGACGCCGAAATCAAGACAATTGAGTCCTGCCTCAGATCTAAGATAATTAGGCCTTTTACATTTCTCATACGCCATATGACGCTTGGATAGCTCCAATGTGAGAAGCAGACCTAGGTGCCACCTGATGCTTAGGTCTTGGCAACAAGCTTGATTTCCTATGACAAACCCAAGTTGGGTCCTAAAAATTATTATTTAAAGTGTTTATATAAAAAACATAATTATTTGTGTTATAAATATTATTACTTTTATTATAACTCGAAGTATTAATATAAAAAATATTATTATTTGTGCTATAATCATCTTTGAAACTCTTTATAGAATTATTTGTGTTATAAATATTATAATTTTTTATAATTAATAGTGTGAATATTAAAAATATTATCATTTGTGTTGTAATTATTATTATTTTTTATTATAATTGATATTATTAATAAAATAATTAATAAATTTGAAAAATATTAATATTAGAAAAAAATATTATTTATGTTATAATTATTTTTATTTTTATTATGATTAAAAGTATTAATATTAAAAATAGTATTATTTATGTTATAATTATTTTTACTTTATTATAATTAAGAATCTGGGCGCGTTCACACCCAACCCGAAGTTGGGCTTAGAGGCATCCGCACTCAACCACAAGTGGGGCTAGACACAGTTATGCTCAAACCTAAGATGGGTCAAGACGCGTCCATACCCACACCCAAGTTGGGTCTAGACACGTCCACCCCAACCCCACACCACGATGGTCTAAAGGCATCCCCGCCCAACCCCGAGGTGGGCCTGGAGGCATCCACGCCCAACCCGCTGTTGGACTTAAACACGTCAACTCTCAAACTCAAATTGGGCGTGCACACGTCCTTGCCCAACCCTAAGTAGACGTGAACGCATCCTCGCCCAAACTCACAGCCGCGTCCACAGCCAACTCTAATTTCGGTCTGGACTCATCCACGCCCAATCACATGTATTAATATAATAATATATGTTATAAACATTATTTTGTCTCTTATAATTCAAAATATTCATAAAAAAATAGTATTATTTATGTTATAAATATTATTATAGCTCAAAGTACTGACATAAAAATATTATTATGTGTTATAATCATCCTTGAAGTTCTTAATATAATTATATATGTTATAAATATAATTATTTTTATTATAATTCTAAATATTCATATAAAAACTAGTATTATTTGTGTTATAAATATTATTATTTTTATTATAATTAATATTATTAATAAAATAATTAATAAATTTGAAAAAACAATTATTATTAATATAAAAATATTATTTTTTATATTATAAATTTTTACAATATTTTTTATATTAATACTTTTAATTATAATAAAAATAAAATATTTATAACACAAATAATATTATTTTTGATATTAATATTTTTATTTAAAATTCTTCATCAAGACCCAATAGAATTGGGTCACGCATGACCCATTGAGCTAGGAATATGATGCTGAACCCAAGACAATCAGGTCCTTTTCCATGACCCAAGTGTGTTGGCTCACTCCAAGCCAACCACATCGCCACTTAGCATTGGGGTCTTGGCAAAAAGCCAATTGGCTATCGCAACCCCACTGCTACGTGGCGTTGGGGTAGACCCGAGCGCCATATGGCGCATAGGTGACTATACACTTGCGTGGGGTAAACCCAGCACCACCTGGTGCAAGGGCAACTCCAATACGAAAGGTAGACCCTAGCGCCACTTGGCGCTTGGATCATGGCAAAAAACCCGCTTAGCTATGGCAGTCGAGTGCCACATGGCGCTGGGGCAGACCCGAGCGCCACATGGCGCCGGAGTCTTGGCGAATGAATGATTGGCTATCGCAGCCCCTTCGCCAAATGGTTCTGGGGCGGACTCAAGCACCATATGACGCATGGGCAGTTATACCCTTGCGAGCATCAAACCCAAGCATCATTTAACGCTTTGGTAACTTCAATGCGCGTGGTAGACCCAGTACCAGGTGACAAAATAATATTATTTGTGTTATAAATATTTTTATTTTTATTATAATTAATAGAATGAATATTGAAAATATTATCATCTGTGTTATAAATATTATTAATAAAATAATTAATAAATTTGACAAAAAAATTATTATTAATATGAAAAAATTATTATTTTTTATATTATAAATTTTCACAGTAGTTTTTATAAAAATAAAAGGTGAGTCCACCATGTAATGCGGGCATCCAACTAGTGCTACACTAAATGAACTCAGGTTCCCCCTAGGGAGACCCCTACTACCTTCACTGTTCATATAAATAGTGAAGGAGGTTAATTTCTTTATTTTTTTAAAAAAAGTTTTATCTTCGTTTTTTCTTTTAATTTATCCTTTAATATTTTTTGTTGAATTTAAATTATTCATTATAATTTATTTTAATTTATTATCAGTGATATTATCAAAGTATTAAACAAATGCTTTAGTTTTTGGTTGGTACTCAAATTTACAAGTACTTATTTTTGTTATCATATTATTAAATAAAAAATAGTTTTTAAACCTAGTATTATCCATCGGTATGCAAGTTTGGCGAATTACACTGCAAAGCCTAAATCATTTCAATATCCTATTATCTCAATATTAAAAAAAAAAGATGTCATCCTATTTTTTAAAAAATTAGACCATGTTTTTACCATCGTTTATTTGACTTTGGATCCACTAAATAGATTAGGTCAAATAAAAACAACTCCCATACAGATTAATTTTAAAATTAGACCAACTAAAAAGTCAGATCAAGATGTTTTAAGGATGATTTGTCATCTCAAGTTTAATAATAATACTAAATAGTTTTTTTGAATTCCATTTTCTATTTTTTTTTATTTTTTTTATCCTTTAAGATTTGGTTGATTTTAAATTGATGTTTATAATTTATTTCGGTTTGCTTTCTATGAAATTATCACAATGTCAAATAAACATTTCGGCCTTTGGTTGATGCTCAATTTTACGAGCATATATTCTGATTTATCAAATTATTAGGTGAAAAATAGTTTTTTATTGAAAAAAATAAAGTTGTTAAATTCAATAAAATTTAGAATTCAAGTCACAAGTTTAGTGGGTTAAGCCATGAAGTCTAAATCAATTTAATAAGTTATCATATTTATATTAAAAAATTATCATCTTGAAATGTTTTAAATGCAAACTATATTTTTTTATCAATCTATCAAGTTGTTTTTGCATCAGTCAAATCTTAGAAAAATTGAAGTTTAATAATAATATAAATAGCTAGTTTATCACTGTATATAAACTAGTTTATTTCTGTATCAATTTTATTTGATGTTAAATTCAATAGCTCCTTGCGGTATATAACTTTTATTTGATGTTTAAATTTGTTTTATCCAACCAACATCGTAGGGCGGTAGATAAACTAGTTTATCACTGTATCAATTTTATTGTAAATACGTGTTGATGTTTTAATTTTAAACATATTTTTCTAAAGGCTTCCTTATTTTTATCACCTTCAATTCTCCAACTCATCAAATTCCTCATCGCATCTCATCATAATTTACATAGAAAAGTGGTATGTGGGAAGAAACATATTTTTCGCAGTTGTGTATTCAGCTAGCATGACTGATGGCATATTCATCACCACCATGTTTAAGCCTTTGAGAAGGTGGGATGTTTGGATCTGGGATCAGATAACTGCAGCTGTTAACTAATCTTCCAATGTCAGTGGTGAACGGTGTCTGCTTGCTGAGATTTGTGATAGGCTTCTTGAGATAGTTGATGCCTTTCAGCTATGTAATTTGAATTTTCAGACCCTCCATGCTTGGTTCATGTCTAAGTTTGTTTCCTTGCATGATTACAGTTTACAAGGTAATTACATGTGTAAACGATATACTACTGGTTTAGCTCTTGGCAAAAGTGTTTGGATCATGACTCTTAGCGAAGAATTTCTTGTTCTACAATGGCATATAACTGCTACATGGAGCTCTGTATTTGTTGGCTTGTGATTCTGTTACTGTTAAATGTAGTTTGCTTGCACGATTTTCTTAGCTATGTACTTCCCCAGATAATCGTATCCATGGAAGTATAAAGCTTCGATTTCTGCTCTTTTGCCACTCTGAACCATCAATGTCAATTCTTCTCTATGTTTCTCCTGTCAAATGTAATCGACTTAGTAAAGGTGCTGGTTATGTTAAAAAGTGAAGGTGCAGTTTTGTTGTTCTACTGTTTCTTTTTATTCTCCTTTACTAATCTGTTGGCAGAGAGGGTGTGGGGCACCTCCTCACCAGAGCTAAGATCTTGAGAAATTGAAAGAGGGTAATATGCTTGCTAGCATACCTGCAAAGTTTCTGAGGACATCAAACTTTTAGCAATCTGCAAGTCTCTTGGCTTCAGTGAGACTAAAGATTCTTCAGGTATTAGCTGAAGATCGTCCCCTCGCAGTCCCAGCCACTTCACATTGCATGCTTCAGAAAGGAAGAACCCCAATTAGTATTTGTTGTCATTTCGAGACAAGGGGACGTAATAGATAACAATCAGAATGACAACGCAAAAACTTACCATATCTGTAAGCCTCGAGACCCATTCCTATGCTTCCGAACTTGAAGGTGCATAGTATAGCTAATCCAGCTGGATTCCTTGCAAAGGTGAATCCAGGAATAATGTATAAGAGCTCAAAACAGAAGGCAGAAGCACGCCCATTAGAGTTACAAGTATTTAAGGTCATCCATACCAGTCAACCAGTGCCATAATTGGCAACTCAGGAAAAGTCCGGCTCATTCGGTGAAGAAGAAACCTGTAAGGAATTTAACATTGTGATAATAATTAAAGCAACCAAGATAAAAACAAAAGAACATCAATTTTACCTTGTGGCTATATCTGGATATCCTTTGGCTGTAATGAGAATGCTTGGAATGTGATTGAATACGCGATCCTCAGCCAATCGCTGGAATATTGCATGCTGCACCAATCCACGAGTGTCGCTTACTGCCTGGAAACTGGAAACCCAGAAGAACTTTGATAAAAAGGACCAAAATAAACAAATACCTTCTCCACAATAATAATGTACCGGGCATCTGTCTTCATAACCAATCTGTCCAATAAATCCAAGTCTCCAGAAATTGCATACCCAGAAGATCCACATTCAGAACAGTCCACCACCTCTTTGTCTGGCTCCTATCACATAAAACCAAGAAACCAAAGAGCATGAAGAGACCTATAGACATTTGCTTCATAATCTGCAAACCAAAACAAATTCAACAATTCAATTATTTGCCTGCAACAACAAACGGCCAGCAACAATTCCTCTACTGGATGCCATGATTCCAAGACTATAACGACTGCACCGAAGCAAACCTACAACATCTGTGACACACAAATTTAACACCATTCTCTCAATTGAGCAAAAACCAATACGCAAAAAAATAAAATTAAACAGACCTTGGATTGTCCGATTAACCTGCAATGGAGACGAGAAACAATCCGGCGAAACACAAAGCAGCTTATAAAACAGCTCACGCTGCGTTACCCGCTTTTCTTGTGACAAAATCTTAAAGCACATCTCCATCACCTTCCACACTGCATTATTAGCCCAAACAAAGCGAGATTTTGATTAAGAAAAAAAGAATGAAAGAAATTAGCTGCAGTAATTTTGATTTGGTTACCTCTAATAAATGCTTTAGCTGCATTTGCTCTCATTAAAGTCCTTTTACAAAATGAACGGGAGAGGAAAATCCACGTATCATCATCCGTCAATAGTCCTTGACTTACTCGCCTATTACTCGATTTTCTATTTATCTTTCCCATCCATATCAAACAAAATCAATTTAGCATATCTGAACCCCCAAAAAATTTCAATTATTTAACCAAATTCGAATAAATTTTGCTTGATTATCATACCAGGAGGAGGTCTGATATCGCCGGATCAGTACAAGTCAATATCTTGAGAAAATTGAGCACCGCTACTTCGATTCTCGCTCGAACCTTATCCAAAAACCAAAAAGAAAGAAAGAATATCAGCTTTTCTTATTATTATTCTTATTATTATTGAGTGGTTGAGGATGACCGCTACTTCGATTCTCGCTCGAACCTTGTCCAAAAACCAAAAAGAAAAGAAAAGAAAGAAAGAATATCAGCTTTTCTTATTATTATTGAGTGGTTGAGGATGATTATTACCTCAGAAGGAGGAAGGATATCGGCGTAACATATTTCTCGATCGGCGAAGAATCTCATCGGCGACGATTTGCAGAGATCTTCCCTTTATTCCCCTGAATTTGAACAAGAGAATATGATTAAAAAAATGGAGGGGCAAGAAAGGGTAAAACAAGTGAACGCGCGCCATTTGTGATTTGAATTTTAAGAAGCTTCCAGCCCATATTATTAATCTGGGCATACTTATGGGCTAGAGGTAGTCGATTAATGCGCTTTCTTTTGAATTCACAGCCGCCGTTTTATTATTTATTGTGGGTCTGCCTAAATTCACCGAAAGCACAGCTGCAAATTGAACAAAAATTCCATAATTAATGACGCTCTTTTCAGACCAATTTTTTCATATGGAAATTAAATGAATATTTTTAAAAGTGTTATAATTTAAATTCCAAATAAATAAATATTTCAATTATTTTCTTATGATTGTATGAAGAAATAAAAAGTAATTAATAGAAGTAAATAATGTTAAAAGAAAACTTAAAATAATATTAAAATATATGTTTTGTTTTCATTGAATATTTATGCATAATTGTTTTAAAACCAGTACATATTAGTTTCATATATAATTATAAAGAAATATATTAAAATAAAAAACTTAAATATTATCAAAAATTTATTGAATAATTGAATTATTAAAAAATATTATTGTAATTAATTATTTAAATATGGTTTTTATTTCAAAATGTTAAAAAATATTAAAAAAAAAGAAACCCTAAAGAATCAAGTCTAGGGCACATCGGCTTGAAAGGATAGCCCAAGCATATTGTATAAGAAGACTAATTCCACGTGTTTAGGCTTAAAATTTGGGCCTATATTTTTCAACCCAAAAAAATTAAAAAAATTATCAAAAAAATTACATTCTAATGCATTAAGACTTGGGATGCTTTTATTGTGGACTTTACATTGTGAACTGTTAAATTAAATCATTATGAATTGGAGTAATGATTTTATATAATTTTTAATTTGATTTTTTTAAAAAAAATACATGATTAAACTTTTTTGAGTCCAAATTATTGTTCAATTGTCTTTTTTTTTTCCTTTAAGAAAAGGCTTAATAGGAAATACAGATGATCAAAGTAAAAAAAAAATGATTATAAATGTGTATGAATTGATTTTGTGATTTATTTCATCTTTTGTGCTTATTAGGTTGCTAAATTAATTCTAAATGTTCAAGGAGTATTTATAGAATTTTTTGACTTTAAATGGGTCAAAAATAGGTTTTTTGAGTTTAAAACCCATAACTCTTATTTTTCAAGCACCGTTAGGCTAGTAGACAACGCCTTATTTGCCTTGCCGAATAATGTTTTATATACCTATTTTTTAAAGCAAAAGGTTTTGAATGATAAGTTGGTTATCCTTTTAAATAATAATAATAAAAAAATAGAATCTCAAGCTCTCACATGTAGACTTAAAAGCCCACACATATGGGCTATTTTTTTAAAAGGCATGAGCATTAAGCTTTTTTGCCTTATTTGGTTGATTTTTTTTTAATGGGTTATATTTAGATTTATAAAAAAAATATTAAAATTATTTGAGTTCATGATTTGAATCACAAGTTCAATGAGTCAAGTCATAACATTCAAATTATTAATTTTTTTAATGCATTTTTTATCCCTAAAGTTTTTATAAAAAAAAAAAAAGATTCAACTTCATCATTTGTTATTGATGATCTATTTTTTATTTAATTTAAAACTAAAAAAATACAATTTTATCCTTTGTTATCAATCATTTGCTTTTGTTTTCTCAGTCTCGTGTGACTATCATGATTTTTTTCTTTTTAAAAAATATTTCATATAAAAAACTTATACGTGCTTTATTGCCATATAAATCTATTAAAAAAATAATACCCAGGATAAAATATTTATTGAATCAAATAGCATGTATACATTGCATTGAGAGTTTGGTTAGTTAACTCAAGTTCACTTGTTTTTTTAAACGAAATAAGTTATTTTTTTATTATTTTTATCCTTTAATATTAAGTTAATAAGATATTTAATTTTTCAATTTATTGTTTTCAAGATTATTCTTATAAGTTTAACAACTCAACCCAGGTTGACTCAAATTAATGTAATGTGTTTCCTTTTCAATATCAGATAAAAATATCATTCAATATGCAGCTAATATTAGATGCTGGTAAAAATCTATTTCTTTTTTCAAGAGATACATTAATAATATCTATATTTTTTTTGTGATTGAAAAAAGAATTATTTTGACATGTGGTGTAGCATAGCCTCAATAGGCCAATGGAATTAAATTCCATTATCACCCACAAAAGATATTTTAATGGAACTAAAAAATGAAAATCAAATTAACTTGAAAATACTTTTGAACTTTGATCTATTTTTTTCTAAATTATTAAAGGTATAAAACATTTCCATTGAGTTTCTATTTCAAAATGAATCTGAATAAATCAAAAACAAAGTTATTAGTTGTTAAAATTTGACCATTTAAGAGCTTTTTTTTCCACTTTTTTCTCTCCATGTTTAAGATTCATGGATTAAAATATAAAAAATTAAAATTTTAAACCAAATAGTAATAACATAAAAATATAGAGACCAGATATAATACAAAGATTGAAACTTAAAGGGAAAAATTGTATTCTCCAAGGCATCAGGGAAAAATGCTCTATTTTTATTTAAATGTTAATTTTGATTTTTAAATTTTTAAATTTTTTTAACAATAATCTAATATTATATTTTATAAAATTAAATGTAATTCAATGTTAGAATATTTCATAATACATGGGATATGTAAGAATAAACAAATTGAAATAAATCTTAACACATGGAGCCGTTCTAACATAACTTCAAAAGAGTACATTGAAAAGAAATAAATTTCATTTAATGAAGTGCAAAAAAATAAAAATTTCAGGAATTTTTTAAAAATAGTTATTAATAATAAGGTGAACATGCCAATGTGAAATGTAGACAGTAAATAAATATACAGTAAAACACCCATAGTTTTTAGTATAAAGTATCTAATGTAGAGGAAATCTCAACACAAAATTAAGATTAAAATGATACTTTAATGGAGAATTATTTTTAGGCATAGTTTATTTTTGTGGTGTAAAAACGTTTTAGAAAAAATATTTATTTATTTATTGTTTTAAATTAATTTTTATATATTTTTAGGTAGTTTTGATATGATAATTTTAAAAATAAATTTATAAAAATTAAAAAATATATTATTTTGATATATAAACGGCTCTTGCACGCAATCAATTGAGAGTCGTTTCTTTTCTTAGGAAAATTTATTTTCCAATTGTTCAAAATGATGAAAATACAATGATCAATACATAGGCACGTAGGTAGCTCATAGCCACGTGGTCTTTGGTCAAATGTCGGTGGTGAATCAAGAATTTTAATTTCGGTCCGTACAAGTCTTGCCTACCTTTTCATTCGAAAACTTTGACCCGTGAAATTTTTTGTGCCGTTGAATTTGAATTCATGGTTCACTCGGGGTGTGGTAATGATTGACATGATAGATTCGGGCGATTAGCCTTAATGATAAGAGAGTTGTACCATATACTCGAATCATGTCGCAAATTGGATTCCGAGTGAGATTTTTTTTATCCCAATATTCTTACTATATATCGAACCAAAAACAAATTGATGCTATCATCTCTTGAATTAATTTCCAATTGTTTCTGTAAGAATGTGTTACGCATTAAATTCCCTTATTGAACCAAGTAATCTTTACAATACCGAATATTCCTTTTTTTTACTTTTCAGTCAAGGCATAACTAAAGAATGAAAATGAACAAGGAATTAGCAAACAACATATCAATTTCAACGTAATTATATTCTTCAAAACCATCCAAGGACCAATTTCTTATTATTTTTCATGGGTTCGATGGATAAAGCGACTAGCACAAATCAATACGTTTCGTAGCCAATGTCATGTGTGAATGACTTCGCTTATAGAAAGATTCCCTGGCATGTCTCCTAGGGGCATGCCATTTCAATCCGGGGACGAAGAATCTTATAGTGCAAAGAATTGACGAAATTCCAGCCAATAAGAAGTAAGTTCTTGGCTCATCTTCAAGCAATACACACCACCTTCAGCATACTAGGAAAAACAAAAGCTCTTTCCCAGCGTTAATGTTTGAATGCAAACCTAACAACTGACCCATCAAATTCCAGCATGCTGTCCTCTTCGGGTCATTTTCAGTTCCATTTAAAAAAAAAATCCTCTTCGGGTCATTTTCAGTTCCATTTTTTTTTTTAAAAAGGAAGCCCAGTTACTTCCCCGCTTGAAAGTCGCTGCCAATCCGCGTCGCGCAGCTCCTCCCAATTCACAACCCAGAGCTTTCAATCCTTTTCAATCTCTTGCCACGCTACGCGCCAGTTGCCTGGTATTCTTTATAGGCAAAAGAAGCTAGGGCATGTCCAAATCAATAAAAATGAAGGTGAAAAGTACAATTACGTCTCTCTGGTATTTTTCTCACCAATATTACCCTCGGACTATGAAAATCATGCCAATCTCATCCTTCCATCGCCAGGATGCTAATTTTCCATATTGAGTTACTAGTTTAGTTTTCTTCTCTTCTAATAGCCATTTTTAATTGTCTTGGCACCAACTTTGTTGTCTTTATAATGTAACTTTGTTATTACAATAATTAACTAAGAAAATCACGCCTATCTTTTAACATATAATGTTTCTTAACTGACGGTGTTCAAATCGACTTTAAAGAATCTGTGATCATATAAATTGGAGGAGAGAAACCCTGCCTAAGTTGAATCCTAATTGAAGAAGAGAGGAGAGAAACCCTGCCTAAGTTGAATCCTGATTGAAGAAGAGATTGACACATCGAATTTTGATAACTTGATTCCAGAAGGTAACATTTGTGCAGGTAGCAGGAGATCAGGGACCTAATTGACTTCTATATAATAGATGGAGGGTGTGTTCGTAGTTCACCCAAAAACAAAAGACAATCGACGAATGGGGACAAGAAGCATATTCTCAAGCGTTGAGCTGATATCACGGCCTGCTACTGCCGTATAACCGCGTAATTGAAAACTTTCAAAATTTATTTTAGTTTTAGATTATTTATTTTATTTTTTTATTGTGTTAATATTAAAGATAATATTTTAAAAAAAATATTATTTTAATATATTTTGAAGTAAA